TGACCTACATCACCCTCCCCTCATGTCTTCCAGGTCCAAGAAGAGCGGATTTTACACCAGCAGGTGAAGTGCATCATCACGGAGGAGAAGGTGTGCATGGTGTGTAAGAAGAAGATTGGGAACAGGTGGGCCTCCTCCACACCTGAGCAGCACTGGGCTCTGATGAGGGTTTCTTGCCGGTGGAGAGCAGTCAGGATGGAATTCTGCTCTTTCGCCAAAGAGAAAACATGTCTGGGCTGTCCTGATCCTGGTGGTTCCTGAGCCTTCAGAGAGCAGTCCCTGCTGTGTAGGAGGGTGGGCCTTGAGAATGAGAAGACCTGAAATGTATAGTATGGAGCTGTTGTATTCTTGCCCATAAAGCCCTTCCCCCTGGTAGCTAGAAATTAGGTTGAAGCCAGTGGGTGTGTGAGCGAGATGGACAGAAAGTCCTTACTTTTTAAGGGTAAGCCTCTGAAAGAAGAAAAAGGTCTCTGAAACTGCTACCGCATGGCTTAAATGAAATCCTAAGTCAGCCTCATACAGTGCTAGGACTGACACTGTAGTCCGTCCATGTCCTTCAGACGAGAGTGATTTGTTCTTTTTCTTTATGGCTGGAAGAATGCTTTCCTTCAGAAAGACCTAACTGGCTCTCTGTGGTAAGAATTAGCCTGAAATGCTGCTGATGGGCCCTGTTGGCTCCCCGTAAGCCCAGCCGAGCTATGCGCCGGTTACTGCCTTGTTAGCCGTGTGCTTTGCACTGATTGCTTAATAAGAAATCCCTCCAGGCACTCTCAATGTAACTCATTCTCTGTTTAGTTACTTGACAGAGACGGTGACTACAGAGGTCCAGAGCCCTCCAGGGCGGGCTGTTGTTTGAGGCTTGGGTGGGCTTCTGGGATGACCCGGGGAAGGTGCCTATTTCAGGTGTGGGGGAAGTAGTCCATTGGTAGCAGTCTTCATTCCTGAGCCATTTTCCTTTTCTGCAGTGCGTTTGCAAGATACCCCAATGGAGTGGTCGTGCACTACTTCTGTTCCAAAGAGGTGAACTCAGCTGACACCTGAGCCCAGCTTGCAAGGATTCAGCAGGTGGACAGCTCAGCTACCCCAGAGAGGAGAGGAGCAGCGGCTGTAGGAGTCGAGGCCCCACCACCAGGGGTCGCTCCATTCGGACGCTGCTGGCTGCCTTGCGCTCTGGAACAACTCTGAATGAATCAGACTTGTGTCTGGCATTGCCAGCTTTTTCATAGAAAAAGAGCTTAGTTCTACCTTGTACCGTTATGTTGTGGGCAGTTCCAGAGAGTTTAATACTGCCCAGACAGGAGCACTGCACCGCCTTGCCTTTGCAAACCAATCTCCTGAATAAGGAAACTATCTCAAGTGTTTGTAACCATGGGCTTGTTTGTTGAGAATTTTCTATTAAGATAAGTGCACGACTTCACAGGGATCCCTCTACGTGGCTGACTGGAGCGGGCCTTGAAAGGACAACACTAGAGCTACTGCAGCCACGGCGACCACACGGCTTGCTGAGTGTGTAATGCCAGTCACGTCTCCACAGTAGACACACGGGACGAGTGTTCCCACGTGCTGTCTTCCTTGGGGTTTTTGAGAATTTGTAATGTTTCCTCTTTGTCTTTAATGGCAGTGGGAGTAGGTGACAGGACACACCACTGACACTGTTTAAGTGGCTTGTCCCTGACATCCGTGGTCCTCAGTAGCCTCCCTGCTCACCTCTTTCGTTTCCCACCTCCTTTTCTTTCTCAGGATTTTTTTTCCCTTTATCTCTGCCCTCGCCGTCCTATCCGGGCTTTCTCTCTTTTTGGACACTAGGGATAAATAATATTTAAACAAGGGTCCTTGAATTAAACAGGAAGTTTCCGTTTCCAGGAATACGTTGATAATTGATTGGCAGGAATGTTGCACGGGGCTCCTCTTTGTGTGGCATCTGCCTAGAAGCTTCGGAGAACAGTGTTCTCTGCTTAGGAAAGGGCCTTTGCACTTCCCATCAAGGGCCAAGTGTGTCGCATTTCCTGAGGAAGAATGGCACTGCACAGGAATGTGATGGCCTAGGCAGACGTTCCCCCAGACACCTGCTCCTGCGTCACCCGCCAGCCACCCGGCAGACGGGTTGTCTTGTGTGTGGAGTTGTTGGTGCCGTGGGCACTGTTCTGCTTCTCCAGTCAGTTGCCATTGACTCGTCTAGCTCGGCTTGGCTGTCGTCACTCCCCAGCTTTGCTTCGCAGAGGGTGGAGGCTTGCTCTAGGGGAGGAGATGGATCTCTGCTACTTGCAGGAAAAGAGCAGATCAAGAGCAGGCAATGACGTGATGCCACAGCTGCCTGTCAGGTATCCAGGGACAGCAGAGAGTGACACTGGAAGGCAGGAGCAGCAGCACGTGGGTTTATAAATTAACTCAAGTGCCAAATCTCTTGAGGCCTGGGGTGGAAAGAGAGGTCTGAGGGGACTTCCCCATCTCTCCCAGGGCACTCCAGAGGGACACAGGATGGAGTTTTTAGCACTGCAGGCTGAGGACACATGGGATGAGTGTTTCCACGTGCTGTCCTCCCTGGGGGGATTTGAGAATTTGTAACTTGTCCTCCGTGTCTTTTATGGCAGTGAGAGTAGGTGACAGGACACACTACTGACACTGTTTAAGTGACTTGTCCTTGACATCTGTGGTACTTTGCGAGCTGCAGCATCGTGCTGTGTCAGGCCCATGTGGATGGTGACTTGCTGGCAGTAGCAGCCTAGGCTTCTGCCGGGCACGCACTGTGGAAGGTCTAAAGAGACCAAGTGAGTGTTGTCTTCATCATCTACAGACCCGGGGGACTCCACGCAGGGTTGTAAGACTGGGTGGTGCTTCACAAGGACCCGGTGGAGCGCTTGTCATTGCGAAGAAGTCACTGTCCTGACCAGCCATGGCCACTCATGAAATGCCATGGTGCCATGACACCATCTGCACCAGCTCAGGCCACACTTCCTCTGGGAGCGACAGTAGAAGCTTCTGGCCTGGCCTGTGCTGCACCACAAGAACTTGCCTGCCACTCCAGCCCTGCCTTCCTGGCCTGTCATGCTTATGTGCTGCATTCTTGTGGACCATGTTTGAAGCAATAGGATAAAGGATGTCTTCTTCCTTCCGTTTATAGACACCACCTTGTCTCCCCACACTCCATTTTTCCTTCCCTGGACTCTGCCCTCCATGGAGGTATGGAGAAGGAAGCTCTGTAAGGAGGACCAAGGAAGATCCCTTAACTGCTTGTCACAGTACATATAAGAAAGCAAGAAGTAAAGCCTATTTGGGTGTTATTTTTTCTCCTTCCCATGGACTTCAATGAAAATAATAATAAAAGGGTAATAATGTAGCTAAGTATTGAGAATAAACCAGTCAGTGACTAAGGAAAAGAACTCTGTAACATTTCTTACACCTAGGTTTCTGTGCTGTCCAGCATAGCTAGAGAACTGCAGGCAGATATGTTGATGGCTCAAATATAAAATATTTCCGTCAGGCCATCCAGTGGTGTGGTGGTTAAGACAGCTGGATCCCACATGACCAACTGCATGGTTCAAGTCCTGGACCTGGTGGCTTGAGAAACACAGTGGGCACATGTGTGTGCATGCCCAGAATCCCCAAAGGAGAAATGGAGAAGGGTTTGCACTGTGACTGTGCCCCATGAGGGGTGCTTTCTCACTTTCTGTCTCTTTCTGGCAAGCACACACATCCTCCAGAAAAAAAAATATAGAGTTTTACTGAACACAGCGGAGCCTTAGCTAATCCTAATTGTTTACCGCTTCACAGAGTAGAGCCTAGGGCTGCTTCCTGCAGCTCATCATGGCAGGAATTTGGTAAGATGGAGGGACCCAGGGTTGTTTGACAAGTGGTGGGGTGTTGGTCTACTTTAGCCAGCTCCAAAAAAATATTTTAGTCCTACTGTATTATTCCCCCTCTTGAGCAATCTATGGCCATCTGGAACTGAAAAACTTCTGATCTGAGACATGACTTTATTGAGGAACGGGTAAGATGACTTCTGGGAGAGGCAGTGAGGTACAGCCCAGGAAGTTCAAATCAGTCAGGAGCCAGGACCCCAGGCCTGGCTGTGCCTCCAGCTTGCTCTGTGCCCTCCTGCACTGGGCCTCCGTTTCCTCTGGTGTGCATCCATGAGCCTCTATACATTATTCATGGAGATTACCAAGGGGGCTGGGCTTGTGTCCAATCCCCCAGCCCAAGCCTTGGCTTCACAGTCCAAATTAAAATGCCTTCCTCCGTTGGTAGCTCAGCCGTCCTCTTTGGTTCTGAGAGTTTCTTACTCATTTCTGTTCTGGGGGAACTTGCCCAGTCGGTTCAGTTTGGAGTTGAATCATCCTCGTATTTGGATGTTGTTCTTCCAGCCTCTGACTCTAGACCTCGGGCAAGAGAATGGAGATGACGGGATCTTGGCTGAAGAATAGAAATATGTCTCGCAATAGTTTATGCCCCAGAAATCCCTCCTTTTTCTGGACATTGCCAGTCCCAGCCACCGAGATGGTGTGGTTCACGGAGAAGACGATACGTTCCATCTGCAGCCTGAGGTCAAGAAGACACTCTTAAGCCTTTATCTCTAGTAGCTTGTGGACAGGCAGCCCTGCTCCTTACCTGGCCTTGTTTATACCACCTGGCTATGTCCCTGCCTCTGTACCTGGGCCACCCGGGTACTTCCTCTGATCTAGGAAGGGGGTCTGGCAGATGCCCTGAGGCTGTGAATTTCTGTAGGAAGTGGGCAGGCCCTCTTCGCCTTTGCCGTCCTGGCCTATGGCCTAGGCACACAGCAGGCTCTGTGTTTGGGGGGTAAATGAAGGAGGCCAAGAGAGATTAGACACATCTTTGAATCCAGAACACTGAACTTTCTGCCAAAGACCTGTGGGGAAGATGGGGTTTGACAGGTGGTTGAATTTAGGCCTTTTTGATCGACTTGTCACCGATGCAGCACTTCCCAGCTGCTCCATGGGCAGGCTGTGTCAGCATCTTCTAGAAGGCCTGTTGTACATAGGAGTACCTGGGTTCCACCCATACCCACTGAACCAGATACTTGAGAGTGGGGCACAGTGAGGCTCAGATATGTTTTTCACAAGCAGCCCAATGGTTGACACTGGCTTGTCACCAAGCCAGTGGGTGGGATGGGTCATAGCTTTTTCTTTCAAAATTTTATCTCCTTCAATACATTCCTGTAGCTCTCAAAATGCAGCAAGAAGGAAGCTGCAAGTTCGCGGTGCACATGGCCACAGTTAGAGTCTTGGAGAGGAATAGAGCTGCCACCTGCCTGAGCAAACTTAGGCTCCAGTCACTTCCTGGAGCTTGGCAAACCCCACCTCTAGTCCCAGCACCCAGCCAGCCATGAGGCCTCAGCAGAGCAGGCAGCCCCACCCTCCCCACCCCAGTGCTACCTGTTGGACCTGAGCAGATCGGGAGTGTAGTCAGAGGAGAGCGAGGTGGCTCTGGAAAACAGGCAGAGCTTCCTGCTGGGAACTGGGTGTCCAGCCATGCTCTGGGCACTCTGGCCGAGATGGCTGGTGGGCAAGGGGCTGCCCCTCCTGGGGGCAGTGCCACTGTGGAAGAGAAAGAAGAGGGGACCTCAGTGGAGGCACTGGCGGGTACGTACCTGATCTACCTGGGGCACGTGGACTGAAGGAGTCCTGGGAGCTGCAGTCCCTCTGAGGACTGAGGCCAGCACTGGCACTGGGTTTTGATTTGGGGTGGGACCTATTGTTCCAGACCATCTGGCAGAGCTTAAATGAAAAAGATTGGCCAAGACCTTGGCTCTTGAATACAGTCCTCTCCAGTCAGGAAATGGAGGGTGAGGTCATGTGACACTTGCCTGTGGTTGATTTCTGCCAAGAATGCTCTGGCCCGGCTAGAGAACCCAGTGCAGGGAGAAGGAGCAGGAACTTGTTGGGATGACGGGATTATGAGGGGACAGTTTCACGCCCAGGAGGCTGCAGCTTGATGTTATCTCTACGGAGCTCAAGCGTCATCCTCCTTAGAGACTTGTCAGACCAGTAGGCTCCAGGTGACTTCTGGCTTCCTTCACCAGCCGCTGCCTCTTACGTGGTCTTCCAGCCTCTGTCATCAAGCCAGTGGGTGAGACGGGTCATAGTTTTTTCTTTCAAGATTTTATCTCCTTAAACACATTCCTCTAGCTCTCGAAATGCAGCGAGAAGGAACCAGCAAGTTTGTGGTACACGTGGCCACGGTTAGTCCTGCTAGTCCATGTTGGAGTTTAAGCTGCAAGTTCGTGGTACACGTGGCCATGGTTAGTCCTGCTAGTCCATGTTGGAGTTTAAGCTTGAACCCAGGCGTGACATCCAGGACCCAGGGTTCAGGCTCTTCACTGAGATGCTGAATTCCCTGGGCCCTGCAAAGTTCTCCCAGCTGCAGGCCTCCTGGCAGTAACAGCAGTGACCTGGGGCTGAGCTACTGCTCCATGATGGGACTAAGGAAACGGGCTGGGAGCCCTGGAAGGAGGAGATCAGGCCCTGCAGTCAGCTTCCTGGAACTGAGTCTCTGGAGTTCTGTTGTAAGCAGGAAACCCACCCATACTATGACCTCCAGGTGAAGGTGCTGAGGGCCAGAAATATCCGGGGCACGGACCTGCGTGAGTGACCTCATCTGCACTTTCTCCCCTTCTTTGCCCTGGGGCCTGCCCAGAGCTCTGCGGTGGCTGACCTGAAGGGGTGTGTGTGGGCGCGTGCACATGAACACTTGGAGGGGCTGGTGCTGATCCAAAGGAGGCCACCCTGATGAGGGACAGACATCCAGGGGCTGTTGGCCAGGAGGGTTGTGCTGACCCCTCTCTGAGTCCAGAAGTACCAACCAAGGTGAGAGCGTGAGGCCACGGCGAACACCTGCTCTCCATTCCAGTGCTCACAGTGTGTGTGTATGTGTCCGGGCGGGGGTGGGGTGGGGCGGGCGGTGTTGCCTGACCAGGGCAGTTTCTGGGAATTGCTCAGTGCTTGTTCAGGCTCTGCTCAGTGGAATGGGAGACGTCACTGGTCCAGATGGTGTGGAACACCCCGCCCCACCACATGGGTAGCCTCCTCCAGGAAACCTCTCCAGCAATGAGCTGTGGCTGAGGACCCCTCCCTGTCCTGTCTGCAGTGTCCAAAGCTGACTGCTATGTACAGCTATGGCTGCCCACAGCGTCCCCAAGTCCCGCCCAGACAAGGACAGTGGCTAATTGTAGTGACCCTGAGTGGAATGAGACCTTCTGCTACCAGATCCATGGGGCTGTGAAGGTGAGGATGCCAGGGCCAGGCTCCGGAGGAAGGTACTCCTGAAGGAGCTGTCCTATCCAGCCTCGGACTCTGACCTCCTGCTGCCCTGTTCCCAGAATGTCCTGGAGCTCACCCTCTATGACAAGGATGTCCTGAGCAGTGACCAACTCTCCTCGCTCCTGTTTGACCTGAGGAGCCTCAAACCTGGCCAGCCCCACAGGCACACCTTCCTACTCAACCACCAGGTGAGCCCTGCCAGTGCCAGCATAACCCACACCTGAGCAAGGTGGCCCAGGGCGGGACACCAGCCAGCTCAGGCCGAGCCCCCTCCTCCCAGCAGCACTGAGCCTATGAGGGGTTCCCTCAAATACTCCTCCCTTGCGTGAAGCCAACACACGAGCCCCCTGAGGCTAGAGTGTTTTGCCTGTCCTGGTTGCTGCTGAATCCTCCCTGTCCAGACAGTGTCCAGTAACATTTTGAATGAATGAAGTTCTGCATGGAGACATCTTTGCCCCCCCTGTGCCCATGAGAAACCACAATGAGTCTCCTCTTCTGGTCCCTAGAGCAGAGCAGGAATAGGGGGCAGGATGGTCCCTAAAGCCTTCAGAACCTTTTATTTTTTAATTGCAAGAGGGCACATGTGCTAGCCAGAGAGAGATGAAGGGACAGAGAGGGAGAGTGAGGAAGTGCCCCCACCTGGTGGGATGTGGTCACGCTGCAGTCCCTTCTCTATTTCTCCATCCTGGAAGGATTTGGGGCACATGCATAACACATGTTTTTCAAGCCTCTAGGGCCTGGACTCAAACCACTGTCTGCAATTAGGGTTCTGGCTCCCTTAACTACCAGGCTACAGTGTGGCCCTTTCACCCCATTAAATGTATTTATTTCTTCCATGAGTGAGAGAGACAGTACCCCTCAGGGTCCCAAAGCCATAATCCAACCCCAGCCTCAGCCAGCCCAGATCATGAGCTCACATATGCCGGGCGTCCTCAGGGAGGTCTCTGGACTCAACCTGGCAACCTCCCCAAGTGCATTGTGTTACCTCTGTGCCGTTGTCCTTCAGAGTCTGTTAAAACCGGGGTTCTTAAAATAAATAAATAAATAAACAAACAAACAAACAAATAAATAAAATAAAGCCAGTGTTCTCTGCTCCCTCACCTAGGATTCACAAGAGCTGCAGGTGGAATTTGTTCTGGAGAAGAGGTGAGTCTAGGTGGAGCCCAGGGACTGCTGTTTACTCTGACTCCCAGATTTGAGTCAGGAATTTGAGGCGCCATGTCCTGCCCTGACCTAACAGGCCTGGCCTGAGGCAGATGGCCTGGCCCTGACACTGTGTGCATGTTGGCCCACAGCCCCATCCCACTCCCAAAACTTACTGTACCCCCAGGCTCTCCCAGGCAGCCGCTTTGGGCATGCAGTCATCACAGGGGGCCAGGTTTCTCATGAGCCTCTCATCCTTGCAGCCAGGTGCCTGCATCTGAGGTCATCACCAACGGGGTCCTGGTGGTAAGCTCGGAGCTGTCCTGGGCTGGGGGCAATGAGGAGTCCCTGACAGCCTTTCATGCCCACTTGCCCTTGAAGGATGCACAGCCCCTCCCCAGAGGGGGGATGTACTAGGGAGGCACCTCCAGAGATGGAGGACAGGAAGGCGCCTTGCACCCAGGTGCACAGCCCAGGACCCACGTGCAAAGCACGTGACTCACTTGGGACCCTGATAGTCCAGACTGCCGAGGGAGCCACTCTCAGGGCCCCTTACCTCCTCCTCCACTATTCCGCCAGGGCCCACTCCCCCTGAGTCCTGGAAGTAGGGATGAATGTAACCTACTGTGGGAAACCCCTGCCTACAAGGCAGGCCCCGTGAGGGCTGTTACCTGGACCCTGCCCCAGATCCTCCTCTCCTTTCATCCTGGTTTGGGCTCCGTGAGCAGTCCAGCTTCCACAGGCCTCTGCTTTCCTCAGGCTCAGCCCTGTCTGAAAATCCAGGGCACCATCAGGGCAGATGGGACAGCCCCACACCGGGAGTATGGTGAGTCTGCTCGATGGCCTTGGGTCTCGCCTTTTTTGCTGGGGTTTGGGGCTGCTGGTGTCCAGGACATGGGTCTGGGCAGGAAGTCCTTATTGTTCACTGGTCAAAGCCGACCAAGGATGGAACAGGTTGACCCTGGAGGTAGCAAATCCTGACCCTGGAATTGCTCGAGAACAGAGATTGTGTCAGTCCAACTGGTGTTCCACAGCACCCCCAAAATCTCAGAGGCACACACCAGGAAGTGGTCCTTTCACTCACACATCTGGCAGTCCACTGGTTCCTGGCTGACAAAGGCTGGGTTTGGCAGGAGTGGCCTGACTTTGATCCATGTGCCTCTCACCTGCCTCTGTGACCAGCGGAGTAGCCTGGAAGGCATCAACAGAGGTGCGAGAGAACAAGCCCAACCAAGCAAGCACTTTTAAGCCTGAGGTCACATCCTGGCCAAGCAACCAAGTCACGTGGTTGAACTCAAAACTGAAGGGCATGGAATGTAATTGACCTCTGTAGAAGGAGGAGGTCACATGGCAACCGGCCACAATGTAAGGGGACTCACACTAGCATGGGTGGGTTAAGTGAGTGAAAGACGCGCTACCAATGCAGCCTGCCACCAAGTGCAGCCAGGCAGGAGGGGGACTGAGTATGGGATTGGGCGGAGGCTGTGTGGCTGCAGAGGTCCCCGGGTCGCTGAGTCAGAGCCTGAGCGGAGTCCCGCCCAGCTAACAGCAAGCACTGAGTCGGGCACTGTGCTAAGATTTTATGTTTTATCCTTTAATCCACATAACAACCACATGAAGGAAGTACAAGCACTGCCACTTTTAATTCATAAAACTGAGGCTCAAAAAAGAAACTTGCTTTAAATCACATAAGCCAATAAGTGGTAGAGGCAGGCCAAACCCGGGTCTGTGAACCTCCAGGACCTGTTTCTTTCCTTTTTAAAAAATTTTTTTGCCAAAGGGCATATGTGCTTGCCAGGAGAGACCAGAGAAAGAGAGGTAGGGGAGGGAAGGGTGGAGGGTGGTCACACGGCTATCTGTTCTCCGTTGTTTCTCCCTCCTTTTGGAATTTGGGGCACACACATACACAGAGCATGTTTTTCAGGCCAGCAGGTCCAGGACTTACTGTGCAGTCATCCAAGGGGGTTCCAGTGCCTTAACCACCATGCCACCTGCTGACCCAGGGCCCATCTCCTTCACCATAGTCTGTGGTTTCTTCCTATGAATAGCACATCTCCATGTTGTTCCATAAACTTGGTATGAATGAAAGACCACTTACTATCTTTGACTCCCACCCATCTGGGGCCGTGTTGAGTCTCCAGGTCTCATTTCATGTAAGGAAGGGCAGATGGAGGGGGACCCAATCTGGACCTCTGCCCAGAGGTGTCTGCCATCCTTAGACACTTTCGGACCATGTTGTGTTTGGGGTCTGGGACCCTTGCCTGGCTGTGTGTGGTCCCCTCTGAGCAGCCATTCTCTCTGGGGTCTGGCCTCCTCCCCAGCAGACTGCTAGGAGGCAGGGGAGAAGCAGCCCTGCTGTTCCTCCGCCCACAGGCCTGCCTCTTTGCCACTTCCCAGCATGCCTCACTTTCTAGCCTAGGCTGGCCTGCTCCTGCTTCTCCGAGACAAGCACTCTCTGCCACCATGACTCCCACTCCTCCTTTTACTCCTCTGCACACAAACCCCTCTACCTCCTCCCAAGGTCTTGCACTTTTGGAAACAAAGGTCAGAAGGACTTGTAGCCACAGAGCGCCCTAGGCAATGAGCGCAGTGCTTGAATGGGGGTAGGGGAGGGTAAGAGATGGAGGAAACTACCAGTTGAAAGCTGTTAATTAATATAATAATTAGTGTATAATTAATTGTATATAATACATTATATAATTAATGTAATAGCCTAAAATTCATCAGCACCATGAGCTGTGAGCAGGCACTCGCCCCTCGCCCCCTTCTCGGTTTTCTCCATCCCTAGGCATATGTGTGTTTTGTATTCTCCCCTGGGGTCCCAGTCTGACCAGGGCAGGTTACAGGACCCCAAGAGTCTTCGATAATGCTTTCTCTATGGTCAGAGCATCTCCGTGTGAACAGGGTGATAGGAGTTGGCATTTCCTAGGGGAAGAGAGGGAGGAGGCGTAGCTGCCATTGTGAGCTGCACCTCCCCCTCACCCCTCTCCCACCTGGGCACCACTCTCAGGCTCTAGGCAGATTCAGCTGGCAGTGCCTGGGGCCTACGAGAAGCCACAGCTCTTGCCCCTGCAGCCTCCCGTGGAGCCGGGTCTCCCGGCCACCTTTACCTTCCACGTGAATCCAGCGCTGAACCCCACGCTGGATGTGGAGCTGGGGGAGAAGCTCACGGTTCTACAGGTGAGTGAGCCGCAGGCAACGGGCAGGAAGAGAGAGGCTAGGTCAGAGAGACTCCGCGGGACCCAGAGGCTTGCTCCTTGCCACCCTGGACAGCTCTCTGGGTGCTTCCTTCTGCAGAGTGGCCCGAGTGCGGAGCTGGAGGCTCAGACCAGCAAACTGGGCGAGGGGCACATCTTGCTCTCATCTCTGCCCCTCGGCCAGGAGCAGCAGCACTTGGTGGCCCTGGATGAGGTATGGCCTGTCTGGGTGCTGGGGGGACTCCTGCCTGTTCTGCAGCCACCGGGAAAGGTCTGGAGGAGAGGCCTGGGAGGGGCAAGGTCAGGCCAGCCTGGAGGGGCACCAGAGCAGCTTGGGGCAGATGGGAGAACCATTTCCTGGGAGGATGGGCTTGGCATGCTCAGAGATGCTGTCTCTTTCAGGGCCAGGAGGTGGCGCTAAGTGTGAAGACAGAGATGAGGTGAGGTGAGATTTCAGTTGAAAGTCTGGTCCGCTCTGGGCTGGGCTGGAAGTGTGGGGAATACTGAAGTGTTCTGTTCTCCTACCTGCTGGGCTCTGCTAGCTGTGGGAATCTGGTGCTGGGGTTCTAAGTGCTGGTGGGAGGTTCCTTGAGATTTTTCAGGGGTTCCAAGTGTGGATCTGCTCCTGTGAAAACAAGCTGGGCCTGAGCCTCTCCACTGGACAGTCACCTGGTTCCCACCCCTGTCCTACCTGAGACAGCTCTGGGGACCTGGACCTGCGCCTCGGCTTTGACCTCTGTGATGGGGAGCAGGAGTTTTTGGACAAGAGGAAGCAGGTTGTGTCCAAGGCCCTGCAGCAAGCACTGGGACTGAGTGAGGCTCCGGATAGTGGCCAGGTACAGAAGGAAAAGGGGTGCTGGGGCCAAACCCAGCCTCTTCCCTTGAGAGGGCTTGTGTGGCTAAGATGGGACCGAAGCCTAGAGGGGCATGGAGGAAGGGGGCCAGTCTGTCTGCCTGAACTGATGGGTGTGGCGGGGAGCATCAGCTCCCTTGTTCCCCACAAAGACTCAACAGCCTGGCCAAGAGTGAATGTCTTAGTTGCCATAACAAGATTCCACAGAGTGGCTTAAACAACAGACATTTTTTCCTCACTGTTCTAGAGGTTCCACAGCCTTCTCCCTGCCATTCCCCCTCCTGCCCCACTGAGAATGAGTACGGTGTCCCCAGGGTTGGCTTCTTGCCAAGGGCTCCCTTCCTGGCTTGTAGGCACCTTTTTTGGTACCAGGGACCCCTGGCAGACAGTTTTTTCATGGACAGAGGTGGGTGGAATGGTTTTTGAGAGCTCACAGCCTAGATCCCTGACATGCATGGTTCACGGTAGGGTTCTTGCTCCTGTGAGAGCCTACTGCCCCACTGATATGACAGGAGGAGGAGCTCAGGCAGTACAGAGAGCGATGGGGAGCAGCTACAAACACAGAGGAGCTTCTCACTCGCTTCTCCTCTCCTGCCGTGTGGCCTGATTGATAGCAGGCCACGGACCTACTGGTCCATGGTCCGGGGATCAGGGACACTTGTTGTAGACAGCCGCCCTCTTGTGTCCTCACATGGCCTTTCTATGTGTGCCCAGAAACCTCTGGTTTCCCTTCCCTTTATAAGGACAGCAGTCCTACTGGATTAAGGCCCCACCCTTATGACCTCACTTAACCTCTTATCCTCCCTATAGGCCCTGGTTCCAGTTCCAGTTACACTGAGGGCTTCAACACATGAACTGGGGGGTGTGGGGAGCGGGGCACAACTGAGTCCATAACAGCGGTCAGAGAGATTGGGAGGTGGAGGGCCCATGGCTCCTCTGAGCGGTGCAAGTGTGGGGCTGTGGCTGGGAGGCAGGAGGAGGGCAGGCAAGGGGCAGACCATGGTAAATCAGGACAGCGGGTGGCTTTCTCCTGAGGGTGTGTCCTTGGGAGATGGAGCCTGATCCTCAGGCTGACAAGCCGAACGAGCTCTGATGGCTCATTCTGTCGCTAAGTGTGCCAGCTCCATGTCAGATACTTGCCCCAGCTCTTCTGGCACTCTGAAGCGATAGTGCCCTCGGAGAGCAGCAGCCAGGGAGCATTTTTCCAAACCAAAGAAAGAGGCCAGGGAAAGGAGCTGAAGATCTGGGATGCAATAAACTAAACCTTTGTGGAAAAGCCGAGCACCCCAAAGGTTCTGAATCTGATCCCCCACCCAGGCACCTCAGATCCCGAAGAGGAACTTTCCATCCAGGCACCTCCCATGTGCGGGGCAGCTCCAGGCTGCTTACCGGTCATTGTCACTTTAGCTCAGGGACTCTGAGTGGGCATGATTTCATCTGATCTTGGGTGATTATTTAACCTTCTTGTGTCTCGGTTTCCTCATCTGTAAAAGAGGGGCCTCACTCAGTTGCTATGAGATCATACATGTAAAACTTAGAATAATATCTGAAATGTGTAAGCAATAACATATAAATGACAGTGGTAATATGGGGGCTTCAAAAAGGTCATGGAAAATGCATATTATGATAAAACTGCATGGATTTCTTTTCTTTTCTTTTCTTTTTTTCTTAGAGAGTTTTTGCTATAGGGCATGTGTATTCACTGGGCGCGGAAGCCCCCCCCCCAAAAAAAAAGAGAGAGAGAGAGAGAGAAATCACTCCCCATGGGGTATGGCCATGCTGCAGTCCCTTCTCCATTCTCCTCTCAGGTTTTAAGACACTAGGTTCGGGACTCAGACCGTGGTCAGCCATGTGGGAGTCCAGCACTTTAACTACCACACCACCTGCTGGCCCCAATAATGAGCTTCTTTAGTACCTATTTTTTTTTTTAAGAAATTTTTGCTCTAGAGCGTGTGTACTCACCAGAGAAAGGAGAGAGACAGAAAGCACTAAATCACCCCCCAGGGGGATGGCCACACTGCAATCCCTTCTCCATTCTTCTCTCAGGATCTTCGGCGTGTACACACACGTCTGGCATGAGTTTCAAGCAGCTGGGTTTGAGACTCGAATCATAGTCAGCCATGTGGGAGTTCAGCCGGGTGGTGCTCCCGAGACAGAGAGAGAGAGAAAACAAACTTCCAGGTCCAGGGCTCAAACCATAGTTTGCCAAATGGGATTCCAGTGCCTTATCCATCACACCAGCTGCTGGTCCGGAATTTCAATTTTTTGCATCAAAATACTTAAATTCCATTTTTCTACCCACTCTTTGAAGCCCCTGCATAGTAGTTATCATCGTCATTATCGTGTCTAGGTACCTGTGGTGGCTGTGCTGGGTTCCGGGGGTGGGACCCGAGCTATGTCTTCCCTGTACGGCAGCCTGGCGGGGCTGCAGGATCTCGGCCTCCTGGACACAGTGACTTACCTGAGCGGGGTGTCTGGGTCTACGTGGTGAGTGCAGGGAGTGAAGGATGCAGAATAAAGGAGAGCCCTGGGTAGTGGGGGTGTGACCTGGTGACTTGAGGAAGTGCCTGAGGAGGGAGTGAACAGGAGTAGGAACAGGCTGAGTCCCAGAGGCCCCTCTGACCAGACCCCGGCAGCTTCCCCTCTTGCTGTGCTCCCCTCCCCACAACTCACAGGCATTCCTCCACCCCAGGTGCATCTCCACACTCTACAAGGACCCAGCCTGGTCCCAGGTGGCCTTGCAGGGCCCCATTGCACGTGCCCGGACTCGGGTCTGCAGCAGTAAGATGGGGGCTATGTCCACAGAGCGGCTACAATATTACACCCAGGAACTGGGGGCCCGAGAGAGCAGCGGCCACGGCGTGTCCCTCATTGACTTCTGGGGTCTCCTCATCGAGTATTTCCTGTACCAGGAGGTAAGAGAAGGGGAGACAGCAGTAAAACATGGCCCCTCTCCACCCCTTCCACACACCCCTCTCCTATACTTGTTTCTGCCTCATCCTGAAGGCTAAGATCAGAGATCCAAAAGCCAGCCCTAAGGTCTGAGCTCCCCTGGTTAAGGGTGAGACACCAGGGTAGGCTGACACTGCTTCACCTGTTGGGCTCCTTACTCCCGGGAAGAGAGAGCAGGCCTGCAATTCTCATCGCCGTCTGCGTATTAGAATCACCTGCACAGCTCTCAAACAACCCAAGCCTGGCCTACTTCCAGAGATACTGATTTTAGTGGGTCTGGAGTAGGGCCCCTAGCATAGGTATGTTTTGTGATTCCAGCCCAGCTGAGGTGCAAAGCCACGCCTGCTCATAGTTCATTGCGGCCATAGACTCATGCCACCCGGTGGCTGCTTGTAGAACTACAGGCCCTGTCCCAGCTGTGGACCCCTTGTGAGCATGGTTATCAGTTGACGGTGTTTTTTATTCTGTTTTTTAGTTTTTGCTATATGGTGCATGTGCTTCCCAGAGAGAAACAGAAAGAGAATTCACCCTCCCAGGGGGCACGACCATGCCACAGTCCCTTCTCCTCCATTCTCCTCTCTGGATTTTGGGTACACACACACACTTGTGTGTTTTTCAAGCTGCTGAGTCTGGAACTTGAACTATGCTGTTGGCCATGTGGGATCCAGTACCTGCTGGTCCCAGGTGTGAGTGTATATTACAAGTGATTTCTCATTTCTGTGTAGAGAATCTGTATTCTCTAGTGACTTTCTTTTTAAATAAATCAGATTGGTTTTTCAAAAATTTGCTTTTAAAATGCCATTCTGACTCCCTTGCATTTTTGGTATGGTTTCTAGAATGAGAAAGAAGGGTGGGGGGTCAGCATGTGGCATAGTGGTTAAGGTGCTGGACCCGCACATGATCGACTGTGGTTTGAATCCCAGACCAAGCAGCTTGAAACCCATGCTGGGCACATGTGCGCGTGTGCCCAAAATCCCCAGAGGAGAATGGAGGAGAAAGGATTGTGGCATGGCCATCCTCCCGGGGCATGATTTCTCACTTGCTGTCTTTGTCTCCTTCTGTTGAGTGCACACACAAAAATCTCTCTCTCAAAAAAAGAGGGGAGTGAAGGAGGCATTCCTATAGTCCTGAAACTGTATGAAACCACACAGTGACTGTCCCCTGGCTGCCACCTAAAGCCATCCCTTAGAGCGCTGTCTCTATAGTGCTAGCCCTGGTGACCCAGAGTTTCTCTGTGGCATGTCATACCACACAGGGAGCTGGCCCCAGGCCATGGGCAGAGAGCATTGGAACTCCTAAAGGCCAAGCTGCCTGCTTCTTTCCTGCCCAGGAAAACCCTGCCAAGCTATCTGACCAGCAGGAAGTCATCAGCCAAGGCCAGAACCCTTTCCCCATTTACGCCAGTGTCAACGTCCGCACCAACATCAGTGGGGAAGACTTTGCAGGTGCCGGGTGTGGAGATGAGGGGAGGAGGTGGAGGGACAGTCGGCAGGAGGGTGTGAGAGCCCGAGACTATCAGGGTACCGAGAGGGGGGCCACAATGGGGCTATGGAGCACAGATGGTTTTCTGCCTCCTGTTTCTGGCAAAGCAGAGACTTCTGCTCTGGCACAGGCCTGGGTCGGAAGCCCCTGGTGACTTTCCCTTCTCTTGGGTCCTCAGAGTGGTGTGAGTTTACCCCCTATGAGGTCGGCTTCCCCAAGTATGGGGCTTACGTCCCCACTGAGCTCTTTGGCTCAGAGTTCTATATGGGACGCCTGCTGCAGCTTCGACCTGAGCCCCGGATCTGCTACCTGCAGGGTGAGTCCAGGCTGGAGGGCTGGGGACAGGTGGGTTCCCTGGACTGGGCCCTGATGAGGGATGGGGCTCCGCCTGTCTCCTTAGGTATGTGGGGCAGCGCCTTCGCAGCCAGCCTGGATGAGATCTTCCAGAAGACGGCTGGCTCAGGCCTTGGCTTCTTGGACTGGCACAGAGGCAGCGTCAACGTCACAGGTGAAGGCAGAGACCCCAACCCCTCCTGTGCCACTTTCCAGCCACACGGCCCTGGCAGAGGCGTCACCCTCCCAGGGGGCACGACCATGCCACAGTCCCTTCTCCTCCATTCTCCTCTCTGGATTTTGGGTACACACACACACTTGTGTGTTTTTCAAGCTGCTGAGTCTGGAACTTGAACTATGCTGTTGGCCATGTGGGATCCAGTACCTGCTGGTCCCAGGTGTGAGTGTATATTACAAGTGATTTCTCATTTCTGTGTAGAGAATCTGTATTCTCTAGTGACTTTCTTTTTAAATAAATCAGATTGGTTTTTCAAAAATTTGTTTTTAAAATGCCATTCTGACTCCCTTGCATTTTTGGTATGGTTTCTAGAATGAGAAAGAAGGGTGGGGGGTCAGCATGTGGCATAGTGGTTAAGGTGCTGGACCCGCACATGATCGACTGTGGTTTGAATCCCAGACCAAGCAGCTTGAAACCCATGCTGGGCACATGTGCGCGTGTGCCCAAAATCCCCAGAGGAGAATGGAGGAGAAAGGATTGTGGCATGGCCATCCTCCCGGGGCATGATTTCTCACTTGCTGTCTTTGTCTCCTTCTGTTGAGTGCACACACAAAAATCTCTCTCTCAAAAAAAGAGGGGAGTGAAGGAGGCATTCCTATAGTCCTGAAACTGTATGAAACCACACAGTGACTGTCCCCTGGCTGCCACCTAAAGCCATCCCTTAGAGCGCTGTCTCTATAGTGCTAGCCCTGGTGACCCAGAGTTTCTCTGTGGCATGTCATACCACACAGGGAGCTGGCCCCAGGCCATGGGCAGAGAGCATTGGAACTCCTAAAGGCCAAGCTGCCTGCTTCTTTCCTGCCCAGGAAAACCCTGCCAAGCTATCTGACCAGCAGGAAGTCATCAGCCAAGGCCAGAACCCTTTCCCCATTTACGCCAGTGTCAACGTCCGCACCAACATCAGTGGGGAAGACTTTGCAGGTGCCGGGTGTGGAGATGAGGGGAGGAGGTGGAGGGACAGTCGGCAGGAGGGTGTGAGAGCCCGAGACTATCAGGGTACCGAGAGGGGGGCCACAATGGGGCTATGGAGCACAGATGGTTTTCTGCCTCCTGTTTCTGGCAAAGCAGAGACTTCTGCTCTGGCACAGGCCTGGGTCGGAAGCCCCTGGTGACTTTCCCTTCTCTTGGGTCCTCAGAGTGGTGTGAGTTTACCCCCTATGAGGTCGGCTTCCCCAAGTATGGGGCTTACGTCCCCACTGAGCTCTTTGGCTCAGAGTTCTATATGGGACGCCTGCTGCAGCTTCGACCTGAGCCCCGGATCTGCTACCTGCAGGGTGAGTCCAGGCTGGAGGGCTGGGGACAGGTGGGTTCCCTGGACTGGGCCCTGATGAGGGATGGGGCTCCGCCTGTCTCCTTAGGTATGTGGGGCAGCGCCTTCGCAGCCAGCCTGGATGAGATCTTCCAGAAGACGGCTGGCTCAGGCCTTGGCTTCTTGGACTGGCACAGAGGCAGCGTCAACGTCACAGGTGAAGGCAGAGACCCCAACCCCTCCTGTGCCACTTTCCAGCCACACGGCCCTGGCAGAGGTGTGAAGAATAAGGGAGGGGATAGACTCGGCTGTCCTATTGGACTCCTGAGGAAATGACTTCTAGCGTAGGGTCTCTGGATGCCCGGAGGTGTGATAAGCCCAAACCTTCACTTGTCTGCTTGGGGCTCCAGTGAAGTCAACTCATCCCAAGGCTATTGGGTATTCCAGCGTCTGCACGACTCCCACGGCTGCCATCAGCCTGTCCTTAAATGGGCCCTGAGGGTCCTGGTGTGCAGTTTCTCTGTCCCTGGGTAACTTTTGCTCAACTCTGAAGATTCAGCTCAGACATCGTTTTGTAGTCTTCTGCTCTGACCCTCCAGGCTGATGGAGGAGCTTATCAATGGCCCCTTAGGACCCTGTGCACAGCCTATTGTTGCCCTTATCCTGGGGCATCCTGACAACTTGCCATCCCTTGTGTGACCTCCCCCTCACGTAGGCTGTGCGCCCAGGAGGGTCAGGCCAGGCCCCACCCACCCCCGCATCCCTCCTGCACAGTGTCAGTCGGTAGCGACTTCCCAGTTGGTGTGTAGTGCCCGGGACGCTGCCTGGAAGTTGTGTGTGATGCTCTGTTTTCAGAAGGATTAGGAGAGAAATTATTTAGCAAATGCAATGTCACAAGCAGTTTTCAAAACATGGGGATACAAAAGAAAAGGCCACATAAAAGGGGTTCTTTGAAGCAGTGGTCAGAGGCCTGGGTGGTAGTTTGGAAGAGGAGGAGGAATGTGGAGGTGTGGGAAGGTGGGGGGCTTCCTTGGGCCATCAGGGTGGCTGGGCAAAGGAGGCATTTGCTGTATTTCACTGTCCCCCACCCCTCCCCAGAGGATGACTGCCCAAAGCTCCAGCTTCACGACCCTGCTCGACTGCGAACGAGGCTCTTCACCCCGCAGGGTCCCTTCTCCCAGGCTGTGCTGGACATATTCACCTCCCGCTTCACTTCCGCTGAGAACTTCAACTTCACCTGGGGCCTCTGCCTGCACAAAGACTACGTGGCTGGCAGGGAGTTTGTGGCCTGGAAAGGTGGGTTCTGCCTTGGGCAAGAGGTGGGTGGGGTCCCCCTTCCTGCCTGCCCCGGCTCATTGGGGTTCCAGTGGGAGAGGAGAGAGAAATCTGCAGAGAGAAAAGGAATGTGAAAGCTGGCAAGAGCAACTGCGTCTGTCCTGTGCACGCACGTGTGTGCCTTGCAGACACACACCCGGACGCCTTCCCGAACCAGCTCACTCCCATGCGGAACTGCCTGTACCTGGTGGACGGAGGCTTCGCCATCAACTCTCCCTTTCCGCTGGCCCTGCTGCCGCAGAGAGCAGTGGACCTCATCCTGTCCTTCGACTACTCCTTGGGAGCCCCATTCGAGGTGAGGTGGGGCAGGGAGCTCCCGAGGTCAGTGGGCAGAGGAGAGGAGAAGAGAGGAGAGCAGAGGAGGGAAGAAGGGAAGAGGGCTCTGCTGAGGGACTGGCTGGGTGTTTTGGGTCCGCCTGGACTCTACTGTAGGGGTGAGGCACCTTCTGAATGCTGTCAGTATGGGTCTCCCCACCTGGAGAGGTTATGGGAGGGAGAGGGAGTGGGAAGAGGAGGCAGGGGGTCATCAGGGGTCTTCTGTCCTCATCAGTAGAGAACCCTTCTCCCCATTCTAAGCCCTGCCCATTCATGATAGGATTCCCTGTGCCAGACTGGCTGTGGCTGTGGGTCTATGTCTTCTTTACCATGGTAACAACAGAGCCAAGAAAGTCCCCTCAGGGAGACTCTAGCAAGGACTCCCTCAATCTCTGTGGGGTGAACAGATGCCGCCATCCAGATGCGAGTGTGGGCCTGCTGGTCCCTCCTCCTCTCTGGCCCCCCCTGGTCCCTTCTCCTCCTGGGTCTAGCAGGAGCCCAGGACTGGAGAGTGATGATGCTTTGTCCAGTGCTGATGCTCTGGCATCACTGAGTGTCAACTTCATGAAATTGAAATCAGCTCCCTGGGGGGGGACGGCCATGAACAGTTAATGGCAGGAATGATGATGACAAAGATACTGATTATTGATTGTGATTTGATCATTGCGGATTATCGCAAACCGTCACAACAGCCCCACTACAGGGTCATCCCCGTTTTTATTTTATAAATGAGGACACTGGATCAGAAAGATGAAGTTACCTGCCCAAAGTCACCCAGCTAGTCAGAGCAGGCCTAGCACTGAAGCCCAGTGTGTGTGAGTTCAGGCCGAGGCAGGCAGGCCAGAAGCTTGGTTCTGTGCTCAGGTCTTACAGATGACAGAGAAGTACTGCCTGGACCGAGGGATCCCCTTCCCCAGGATTGAGGTGGGCCCCGAGGACTTGGAGGAGCCCCGCGAGTGCTATCTGTTTGCCAAGGCTGACGACCCCCGCTCACCCATCGTGTTGCACTTCCCCCTTGTCAATCGAACCTTCCGCACACACCTGGCCCCAGGTAAGGGGGAACTCTGGGCCCCGGTCTAACTATGAACCTTGTGGTGGTGATGGGATGCTGCTCTGAGCATGGACCCCTAGATGGTGCACCGAAGCTTGCCTCAAAGGGGCCTGACTATGGAGGCCCGAGCAGGGCTCACCAGAGTCCCGGGACGAGGAGGGCTTCTGGCTGTCAACCCTAGCCAGTTCCACGGAGGGCAAGGTCTGGCTTCTCGTCACAGGTGTGGAGCGGCAAACAACTGAGGAGAAGGCCTTTGGGGATTTTGTCATTGGTGGGCCAGACACCCCGTATGGCATGACGAACTTCACCTACGAGCCCGAGGAGTTCGATCGGCTGGTGGCCCTGAGTCGATACAATGTCCTGAACAATGTGGAGGCCGTGAGGCAGGCCCTCCAGCTGGCTCTGGACCGGCGGCAGGCTGCGGAGAGGGTTGGGGGCTGACCCAGGCAAGAGCTGTGGCAAAGGAGAGACCGCGGGCTGCTCAGCGAGGGATCGTAGACGTTGTGGGGCTTCTGCTTCCCATCTCACCAGGACTGGCCTTGTGGCCCTCCGGCCTTGGAGAGCTCTTGCAGAATTGCAACTGGGACGGGGGATAGGTCTCTCCACATGGGTTTCTCAGTGGAACTGGGGCAGAATGTCTCCCCAGGTGACTTTGGGGGTGCAGGGCAGAGTGCAGAAGTGCTCCCTTTACAGGGGGATGTGGAAAGAATCAGGCAACTGTGTAGCCACACTCCTCCCCCAAACATAGGAAGACTTCAGAGGGCCCGGTCTCCAGACCCTCGCAGGATGAGAGCTGTGAGAGAGGGGTGCAGGCTGTGCCCCTACACTGAGATGGAAAGCAGAGAACATTCACCCTTACCCCCATGAGGTGGCCCAAACCCGATCCCATCCTGAGCTCCTGGACACGGAGCCACTGAGAATAAAGAGGAGCTGTGGGGGCTGCCAGCTGTGCCCAGCTGTGCCCAGCTCCAACGTCCTGACAGCTAACACACCTTCACCTCCTAGCTCCCGCGTCCCTCCTCATGGCTCACTCCCCACCCCTCTGTGCAGCTCTTAAAGCCTGAGGGATGGTGGCCCTCCCTGGCTGGGCTCCAGCTTGTGGTTACGCAGCACCTTCCTGCTCACTTCCCAGCTCTTAAAACTTGGGTCACGTTCTCTGGTCACACGTACAGCTACCACCTCATGCAAATATGGTCTCACCATTGCAGGAGCTAAATAGCTGTGGGTCGACGGGGCCTCCACTTGCCAGGGGCACAGTGAATGCCTGCTGTGTGGGGGCATACATGTGCACAAGTTCCTAGTGAGGGCACCCGTCTGATGGCAAGGGAGGGCAGGGTAGAAGGAGCCTAACCTGGCCTCTGAACTCCTTCACAGACACATCTAATGATCTGGACATGCCATTTCTCTTTTTTCCCTGACTCACCTGGGCCCCTCCAGCTGTATGGAGCCTCTCCAGGGTGGGCAGATTCCAGGTCTGTGAAGAGGAGCTCCATCTGGGAACCAGCAGTTAGCGTAATGGCTATGTCGCTGGACTCCCACGTAGTCCACCGCGATTCACGTCCCGGACCCGGTGGCTTAAAACTCACGCCGGGTGCGTGTGCGTGCGTGCCCAAGATCCCAAGAGGAGAATGAAGGAGAAGGGATTGCGGTGTGACCATCCCCCCTGGGGGGTGATTTCTCGCTTTCTGTCTCTATGTCTCTGTCTGTCTGGCGAGCGCACACGCCCTATAGCGAAAAATCTCTCAAAAAAAATAAAACAAAACCTGCCACCCTGCATCACTCTCATGTACAAACGTTCTGGGCCCTGAGTCACAATTCTTTGTTCAATCAGACCCTGCTCAGAGACCCATGTGTTGACTCTGGGAAGAAGACTCTGTTCTGGGTCCCAGCTGGCAGGAAGTAGCCAGAGCCCAAGCTATGCCCTCTGTCTAGCCAGGGCCTCACAGCCTCCAGCTGGCATGAGCAGTGTGGGCCAGGGGAGCCATTCTTGGCTGAGCCAGCCCTGTTGGCTGGTATGGGGTGGGCATCTTGGTTCTCCTCCTGGCTGCACGTCTTGCTATCTAGCCTGGTCCAGCACCCCTACCTCTTGGCTCTGTGGTGTGAGGTTTTCTTGGGAGCAGCCCAGGATGGTCCCTGAGCTCCTGCTGTGGCCACTGTCATCACTGCTCAGTTGCTCATTAGAACCTTCATGGAGTTCACAACTTAGGACTTTATAGCATTCTTAAAACTGGGAGCTCAGGACCAGCAGATGGTATAGTAGTTATGTCGCTGGACTCCCACATGGCCAACGGTAGTTCAAGTCCTAGACCCAGTGGCTTCAAAATCATGCCAGGCATGTGGACGTGCATGCCCAAAATCCCAGGGGAAGAATGGAGGGGAAGGGATTGTGGCATGGCCATCCCCCCAGGGGAGATTTCTCACGTTTCCTCTCACTGTGTTTCTCTCTCTTCAGCCAGCGCATGCACCCTAATGCAAAAACAAAACAAAACAAAACAAAAAACAACTCATAAAAAAAAACGAAACAAAAAAAGAGTGGAAGCTCATGGGTTCACAGAGCTCATAACTTGGAATCTTGAGTCTGTCTTTAATGCCTCATGCAGTGCCACTGAGTTAAGCAGAGGGAAGAGGGTCCTGGTGGGGGGTGATGTCAAGATCACTTAGCAGTTTGGGTCCCCCTCCAAGGTGGGGAGGGATCTGAGACTGATTCTACCTCATTACTACCTGCCCCACCCTCCATTCCCAACCCTTGTCTAAGGGCTGGAAATAACTGTAAGGTCACATTCAGTAAAGTTCCCCTGAGCACCACCTGGTGTCACCCCAGGCCTGACAGAGGACCAAGGTCAGACCTCTGCAGAGCTCAGCTTGGCAAGGGGCCCCATTCCAGGTGCTGCTATTGCAAGGTCACAGTGATCCAGAGAGTCATATACAATGACATAAAATGAGGACTAAGAGGTCTAACTCTCCAGAGACAGAACAACAACAACAACAACAACAACAACCCCACCAAAAGTTCCATGTGTCCAGCCAGTCCCACTGTGCCCAACCCCCCCATGTATCAGTCATACAGTCTCCCAGGTCCAGCTCTTTCCAGGCCAGCAGACTGAAGCACTTCCAGCTTTAGATCCCCGGGCGCTCTTGTCTAATAAACTTTCCTTTTTCTATGGAGACGTTGTCTTGAGTCTTACTCCAAACCATGACAATAGTTTTCAAGGTTGTGAAAGTGACAGGGTTGGAGGAATTTGGCCAGAAGAACAGAGCTATAAGTTTGATTCCCCCCAAGTCGGGGGAGTTACACAGGAGCAGAGGCATGACTCCTCAATGTGTCGGAGCCTCTCATCCTGCAAGGGGAGAAGAAGGTGGCCAGTAAGGCTGCCACGTATGGATGCACAGGTTGTGCACTGCAACTACGGGAGGTACTGCACACCAACTGATGGTGGGCATTTTCTCAGTCGGCAGCCGAGGGGTCACAGCCTTAACTGAGAGAGTGTGAGGACAGAGGCTGGTTGAAACATCAGGTCCTCTGGATTCTTCAGACACATCTCTAGGTGTTCACAAGAATACCCTGTAATGAGAAAAAAAAAATTGCAGGAGGAGGAAAAAGAAAGCAACCTCTCCATTCCTTGGGAGATGCTGCACCAGGACACGGGGTCTCAGGTATTGGGAGGTGACTAGTGAGCATGGCACGTCCTCACCTTCTAAGCCCAGGACACAGAGCTCATTGTCCAATTGTGTTAATTTGGTGAGGGTTTAAGTGACATTTCCCTCATTTCAGGTGGAACAGTTCTTGGAGAGGAGAAAAGGAGGGTGACCTGCAGAATCATTCAGGCTCCCGCTTTCCCCCAACACCTCTCTTCTGTGAAAACCCACAGGGACACTGAACAAACATGGGAGGGAGTCCAGGACCCTCCTCCTTGCAGGAGACAGGGATCCGTGACGGGGCTGTTCTGCGTGTCAGGGAGGAGGCCACCAGCAGAGTTCAGGGCTGAGGACTGGTTTTCTCCTATTAGGACAACTGAGGTGCAGAAAAAATTAAGCAACTACGAGCCCACATATATTAAAAACCATTCTTAGTAAGATTTAGATTTTTCTTGGGGTGGGGGGGCAGCAGGTGGCATGATCGTTAAGGCATTGGATTACCACATGGTCACCTGTCTGAGTCCCAGACCCGACAGTTTAAAAAATCACACTGGGTGCGTGTGCATGTGTGCCCAAAACCCCCAGAGGAGAAGGGATTGCAGCAGAGCCACCCCCCCTGGGGAGTGATTTCTCACATTTCCTCTCTCTCTGGGGAGTGCATGGGCCCTATGACAAAAACCTAAAAAAAAAAAAGATTTACGTTTGGTTTATGTATGTATTTGTATGTATGTATTTGTGTGTATGTAGCTATATAAAATGTATGTATATAATTAAGGCCATTTTGAATTCCCCCCTTTTCTATGATAGATAGTGTGCACGTGTATGAGAAAGAAGCACCCTCAGCAGGGCCCATCATGCCATGACCCCGCTTCCCCGGGCCCCCCAGCTCCTCAGGATCCCGGGTGCCTGCACACACACCCAGCGTGTTTTCAAGCCAACCTGGGGATCTGAACCCTGTGGCTTCCAGCCTTGCAAGACACTTGGACTGGCGCTCATTACCACGACCCCTCAGAGCTGGGCTTGTTTCATTTCTTACAAGTTGAATTGCTAACACTAGGTGGGGAACTATGGGAAAGGACGTGGTAAAAGGAGGAGAGATTGGGGGGAAGGAAAAGCTAGAGGGAGGAAAGTATGAGTGAGGCATAGAGAAGAGAAGGCAGCCATCCAGAGGGTGCAATCTGGGTGGCCAGAGGCTGCGGAGGCGCTGCAGGGAGGCGGGCCAGTTGCTCCTTAAGTAGCCTCCAGCTGATCTACTCCACCTTCTGTGGTTCACCCTCTGCCCTCAGGGTGGTGGGTCCCATCTGGGCCAAAATCGGAATCACATGAGGAGCTTTAAAAAGGCTGATGATGGGCCGACTGCTGGCAAGGAAGTTAAGGCACTGGATCCCACGTGGCCAACTGCACTATATGAGTCCGGACCTAGTGGCTTGAAAATCACTCCAGTGCATGTACCCACACGGGCGTGCCCCAAATCCCGAGGAGATGGAGGAGAAGGGAGGGCAGCATGTCCATCTCCCCTGAGGGGGTGACATCTCACTTTCCATCCGTATCTCTCTGGCCAGTACATATGCCCTAAAATAAAAAAGAAATAAAAAAATAAAGCTAAAAAAAGAAATGCCAGTGTGGGCTAGCTCTGCTTGGCCTGCTGCAGGGCATATTCCTGTCCCACCCTCTCCACTCTGCCCCTCTGAACCCAGCTGAGGCTTCTGCAGTAAGACCCAGGTAACCTCACACCTGTTTGGTCTAGCTCTGGTTGGTACCCTAAAGCCTCCTCTTCTTTTCCTGCCTCCTTTTGGCCTCTCAGCACCTCGGTCTTCCTTGTCCTCCCATGCCTCTCCTCGGCTCCCACCACTGGGATTTTCTGGGGTTCTTTCATAGCCTCTAAGGGCCCATGGATGTTCAGGTCCTTGTGAGTACCAGGAGAAATTATGCTCCACCCCTTCCTTTCACGCCCCACCCACGCCTCTTCTTTTAATTCACCTGCATTTAGTTTCTAAGGAATCATCCTTTCAAGAAGTTTCAGAGTCAGCCTTGTGTCTGGAGACTCTAGTTTTCTGTTTGCTGCGCTTTTACTCCCCAGCCCTTTTCTGCTTTCTGATTCAATTCCCTTTCCCCACTTCCCCGCTCTGCTGCTGTGAAGGCTGTGCGTTCTACTTCTGGTATCCCACAGGCTCCTCCTGTCGACTGGGTTCATGCGTAATTCAGGTCCGAGAGCAAGCGTGTATTCCAAGCGCACAGTGAGTGTACAGAACAGGGTCTGCTCAGTGAACTGTGGCTAACTTATACACATGTGTGAGTGCAGCCGCAATTGAGATATGGAACACCACCACCCCAGAAGGTGATTTGTGCTCTAGCCCCACAAGTCTCCCCACCTCTGGCCCCGAGGGGACCACTGATCTGCTTTCTCTCTCCACAGACAGACTGGTCTTTTCCAGAGTCCCTTACACACGCCCTGTGCGTGCGCTCTTTTGGGTCTGGTTTTTCACTCGTTGCAATGCTTCTGAAGTGCATCCCTGCGGTGTGCATCAGTTCATTCCTTTTTATTACTGAGTAGGAATGATCTGGATATACACCAATTTGTTTCTCCATTCTCCTGCTGGTGGAAATGTGGGTTACTTTCAGATTTTATCTCTCAATAAATTTTTAATACTTAAAATTTTATTTTAAAATATCTGTTTAGAAAGTCAGTCTTGGGACCAGCAGATGGTGTAGCAGTTACACTAGCTGACTGCAGTTTGTTTTGGATCCAGCAGCGTAAAACTCACGCTGGGAGCATGCGCATTGGTGCCCAAAATCCCAAGAGGAGAATGGAGGAGAAGGAATCGTGGCATGACCATCCCCCAGAGAGGTGACTTCTCTTTCTGTCTCTCAATATCTCTGGTGAGTGCACACACCCTATAGCAAACATCTCTCTAAAAAAATTAATT